TGCCCCGACTTACTCATATACAGACTGACTCACACTCAGACTAACTCAGACACATATTCACACACAAATACCTACTCATACTCATACCTACTCATACTCAGACCTGCTCCGACTCAGACTTACTCATGCTGAGACTCACGCGCGCCCCGTTCGCGGTCGTTTCGTGGGGATGCCTCAAGCGGTTTGCTTGTTTTCTGTCCCAGCATATTTCGCTATCGGAGCTGATTTAGAGGATGTCTCGAGCGAGGCGCTAATTTTCACCCCCCTTAGGGGAGCAACCAATGGTTATCTCACGGTCCCCTTCGCGGCCGTTCTGTGGGGATGTCTCCAGCGGCTTGCCTGTTTTCTGTTTCAACATCCTTCGCTTTCGGAGCAGATTTGGAGGATGTCTAGAGCGAGGCGCTCATTTTCACGTCCCTAAGGAGCCGCCGAGGGGTTATCTCACGGTCCCGTTCGCGGCCGTTTTGTGGGGATGTCTCAAGCGGGTTTGCCTGTTAGTTGTGCCGACATCATTCGCTTCCGGAGCAGATTTGGAGGATGTCTCGAGCGAGGCGCTCATTGTCACCCCCCTAAGGGGATTCAAATATTCACTGCGTGGGGCTCCCCATATGCGCATTTATTCCCATGGACCTGTCCGCCGTGAGAATCTAGGCGCAAAAACTTTCGAGTATAAACGGGTTTCAGTTGTGACGGTCTGGTCATGAATCTAACTGAGAATCAATTGGAGTGTGAATGAGCCTCAGTAGTACGAGCGCGTCTCTGCGCATGTCCCTGGGTCCTCCTGGGGCCTCCTGGGGCCTCCTGGGGACCTACTGGGGCTTCTTGGGGCCTCCAGGAGCCTCTTTGGGCCCCCTGGGGCCTCCTGGGACCTCCTAGGGAGGATTCGTGCCCGAGGAGAGGCCCAATCTATAGCAACAGTCGTACATAAAACATTGCGACTTGGAGCCGCAGAAAAAAAAGGGACAATCTATAGGAACACGCGTACAACACCAAGGAGTCGTGCCCTAGGAGAGGCCCTATAGGAACATAAGTACACAGGATATGGACAATCTATAGAAACATACGTATAACATCAAGGATTCGTGCCCCAGGTGAGGCCCAATATATGAGAGCATACGTAAAACACATGGGATTGGAACCACCCCTGTTGCCTTCTGAGGCCTCCTGCTCCTGGGGCCTCTCGGGGCCTCCTGTTGCCCTCCGGAGACCTCCTGGCGCTTCCTCTGGCCTCCTGGGGCCTCCTGTGGCTTCCTGAAGCCTCCAGGAGCTTCCTGGGGCCTCCTAGAGCCTCTTGGGGCATCCTGTGGCCTCTTGGGTCTTTCTGTGGCATCCTGATTCATCCTGGGACCTCATGTGGTCTCCACGGGCCTCCTGGAACCTGTTGGAGCCTCCTGTGGCATCCCCAGGAAAACCAGCGCCCACGAGTCTGGCCACCGATCGAGACATCCTCAAAATCTGGCCCACCTGGGGGGGTGAAGTGGAGCGCCTCGCTCGAGACATCCTCCAAATCTACTCCGAGAGCGAAGGATGCTGGGACAGAAAACAAGCACACCGCTTGAGACATCCCCACAAAACGGCTGCGAACGGGACCGTGAGAGAACCATTGGCGGCTCCCCTTAAGGTGGTGAATATGAGCGCCCCCCGCCAGTCCTCCTGCCAAGGGAACCTGGCTGTGGTTTTCGGCGACGCACCAGCGCCCTTGGCTAACAGCGTTGCAACGCACGCGCTGCATTACGCGGAAGTAGTAAGATGATATGTTTCTGACCTGATGCGTGGGCGCGCACGGCGCGGGCCTACATGGCGCGTCGAAGGCGCCTGACACACGCCCGCGATACTATTCACGACCGAAATCGGAAAATTAGCTCCGGCGGCGCACATGCGGTGGGACACGCGTGCGTTCGGCATCACCCGCGCGAGGTGGCTAACAATTTCGCGGCGTTGCGCTAAAAATGCCATTGTGCCCAACATCGTTTCGAAGCGCGCTGCGGTGCGCCGCGCAAGCGCGCGTGGACTGCGGCCTGCGTGCGGCCCGCGCACTAGTACGAGCGATTGAATCTGAAAGGGCCAGGCGCGGCACGTGCGCCATGAAAACGCGGCACACGGCAAAAGCAGTTACGAGAAGGAAACTCGCGCGATTCGCGTGCCTCCGTCGACCGAAATCGCTAAATCAGGGCAAGCGATCGGCGACGACCGCGTTTGACGCCACCAATAAATACATGAAAAAATGCAAAAACAAATTTGTCGAGGCCCTCGTTTTGTTTCCTGGTGGGCGCAACACCTGATGACTGCAAGAAATGGGTTGCTTGAGCCAAGAGGGGCTACGCTAACAAAAAAATGCGGAGAACGAGATCGAATACGGAAAAGGTGTAGAGAGAAAGAGGGAGAGATAAAGAAAGAAAGAGAGCGAGAGAGAGAGAGAGAACGGTAATAGCGAAAAATGCAATGAGGAAGACTGGGGGGAAAATTGAAGGAATCAGGCAGAAGCCGAGGAATAGAGAGGAGTCAACACAGGGAGGACGATGGGGGGAGTAACAGCGAGGAACACCAAGAACGGCAGGGACTGACAGCAGGAAGAGAAGAGAAGGATGACGACTGAGGATAGATGCTCAACGGAGGATCGATCAGTGAAAATGCGAATGGACGCCCTAACGATCGATGTGAAATTCGTGGGTGCTGTATTACCAAATGCGGAGGATGTCGCGGCACTGCTGGCCAATCAGGAGGGCCATGGTAGCCTGTTGTGCAAAGTTGGTCCTCTCATGTGAGAACTGGTTTTCTAGTTTTGGCACCTTTGCATTGTCCAGCGTATTTCCCAGCATTATTCAATTTCAGGTGCATGCGCAAAGCTGGCAAAGGTGTTTTGAGTTGCCTGAAGCGAACCCCTCCGCCGAAGTCAGGGGGACAATTCCCCGGTGTGTGACTGTGTACAGCGTCCCCCGCGTAGCAGCTGGCCACCACGAGCGATGATACAATAGAACAGACATGTCTTTCTCCTCCTCCTCCTCCTGCCCCCCACCTCCTCCTCCTCCTCCCCTCCTGGATCCCCCTCCTGGAAGGGAGCGGGCCTTCCGCAAGCGACGCTCCAGTGCAGAGGAGTGTACCCGGTGTAGGCCCCAGTCTCCTCGTCCTGGGGCTCGGGGCGGCGGGGCGGGCCGTCGTGGCTTCGTCGGCGTCGGAGCCGCCCCATCCAGGGCCGCGAGGGGTCATGCCGCGCGGGCTGCAGTGGGAGGCGCGCCGAGAGGGGAAACTGAGAGGGGGCAAGTCTTCTCAGAAGGGAGAGGGGGCTTCTCAGAAGCCCCGCTGGCCTTCTGGGAGTCCTTTGTGCGGCTTCGGCCAACGCTCAGAAAGCTTCTTGGAAGGCTGGAGGCCATTCTGCGCCATCTGCGGGGGCCCATCCCCTATGCCTTCCCCCCTCGGCGCGTCGCCGACGTAGTGGGTTGGGAGGTCTTCGCGGGAACGATTAAGGGCTACCAAACAAGATTAAGGGACCATTGAGCCGGATCTTAGATCAAGCCACGTGCCCAGGCGAATTTAACAGCATTCAGCGAACTCAGACGGGGCTATGTGGGACCATACCAACGACAAAGCTGTAGGACTAGGCAGATTTTCGACCACGGATATGCCAACGACGAAAACTGTATGTAGCCTCCCAGTAGTTGCGGCCTGACGTAGAGTGTGTTTGCGTTACACGTGTGTGCATCGCCCTCGGCTCCTTCAGCGCACCCTGCGCCGCCCAGGTGGAAAAAAATGGAGGTTGTGCTCCCGAATGCACGGGGTTATCGACCTGCCCCCCTCGCCGAACGTTGCAGCAGCCCTCCTCTCCCCGGTCGTCCCTGTCGTGTCGGTTGCGGGAGATGTGGCATGGCATGGGCATTTGGCGTTGGCGTGGCCTGCGGGACATTGAAGATATGAGGCACAGTGAGAGGCCCACAATAATGATTTCATAGAGTGAGCAAACGATGCACTATGCCATTGGACGCCCAGAAGTGAAATTGTAGACGACACTCGCAAGTGAACGGGCGCTGCCCCCGAAGCTGAAGAACTTGGTCGTGGACTGAGGCATCAGGCACACACCCAGCGGGCCATCAGTGCGCACACCGAAGGGCCAGTGCGATGCCAGACTGTCGAACACCTGCAGGCGTGCTGACGTCATTTCTCTCATCACACGCGCGCGCTATCGCGACGACGAATCGGTTATTCTGCATGGGTCTGAGGAGCGGCCCGACAAACTGAGCCCCTCCTGCGCCCGAAGTGGTCCTTCTTTCAGCGCCTTGTGTCTTGACTGTGCCCCCTGGACGGGGCGACCCGCGAGGCGTTCAGAGCGCCAAAGACAGCCAACGACGGCGCCACCAAGGCCTGGGAGAGCCCACGACGACCTCCTTGAAGGCACAATATGGCTCAGGGTTGCTCAAGATAGCCTGCACGACGCCTCCCGCCCCACGACGCCTCGCACGAGCTCTCACCGAGGCGCAGGGAAGCCCGCGGCGGTCCGTGGTGGACAGGTTCGCGTTGATGCTGGGTTCGGCGAGGAGGCGATTGACTACTTCCTCTCGGGGCGGTTCTGCGTCTGCCCGTGTCGCCGCCGCGGCGGCCTCCTATCTGGACCCCCTGGGCCGACGAAGCCTGCAAGGATGAGCAGGGGGAGGACGAGCAACAGTTTGGTTGGGGTGGAGGCGGATTCCGAGCGTGGGGGAGCTGAGGAGTGGGGAGAGATGAGGAGTGGCAGGAGTGGGAAGAGGACGATGAGCAAGAGGAGGCGGGATGGGGCAGGAGGAGCAAGACAGGGAAAAGGAGGTACAGGTGGCAGTTGACAAGAGTGCTTGTGGAGCCAACGGCAGCGGATATCTCACAGCGGGCCGAAAGCAGGAGGTGGCGATTCTGCTCCTCCTCCTCCTCCTCCTCCTCCGCACACTTCTGGGCGTCGGGCATAACACGACGAGGCAGTCCGGTGTCTCGGGAACGAGGACCCTCGCAGATGGGTCTGGCTCGAAGGGTCAAGCCTAAATACTATGGCGGTCATGTCCTTCCTTCCCGTTGCCTCTCCACCTCTCGGCGGCACACAAAAGGCGGCGGGGCGAGAGTGACAACCTTCTAAGAAGGCAAGGAGTTCTTAGAAGGAACCCGTGGCTCCCAAGAAGGCTTCTCAGACGGCGGGACGGCCTCTAAGGCGCCCCCTGGCCACCTAGAAAACCCCCCTCGCCCTTCGCAAGCTCACCTTCCTCGTCTTCAACCATCTTGCACTTCCCCGAAGCTTGAAATCCACTGCAGCTACACAAATGGATTGCCCTGGTGGTTATAAAACTGTGGCTCCCGCTGTTTCGCCACGCACATGCGTCATACGTCATACATGCTCCCAACAAATACATGGATGACAGAGGGGCCGGTTTCAAAATGTGGCTCTTGCCTGAATTCCACGCGTACCTGTCTTCAATGATCCCAACAGCTACACGGATGGAGGCTTGCACCGTTCAGTAATGGGGCTCTCGGCCATGACTTCCTGAGCAAATCTTACACCAAGCGAAGATGTGTGGCAGCTACACGGACGTAGATCGATTATTTCTCGCAGTGGATCCCTCACCCAAAATTTCGTCTGACTTTGCAGCCAGACTGTCAACATCGTGCAACCGACTGCACGGGTGCGTGGCGGTTCCTTTTCAGAGCGGGGCTGTCGCTGGGCATCCCCTCGCACACGCAAGCCCCTCGTTGTCGCATTCCTTGGATCCCGACCGCGGTGACGAGAACTCCCCAGGCCGAGCTGCGGAATCGGCGCCTTCCCTCCCCATTACCAGCGCGCCGCCGCCGCGCGTCGCTGCCGCCAGTCGTCAGGTCGCCGTCGGCCCCGCCGCTCGAGGCCGCGCGAGCGGTGGACACCCGCGGCCGCGCGGTCCAGGTCGCCCCCCCGCGCCGCGTACACCAGCGCGGAGGCGCCGCGGCTGCGCGGGCTGTCGTCCCCGGCCTGAAGAGGGGAGTCCGCGGCTCTGGCGAAGAGCGCGCGCCGTCCCCCCCGTGCAACCATCGTGCCGCCATGAGGGACGCTGGGTACGGAACGCAGAGGCTTTTCTGGACACCGCGGGCCTCACCCGACCTACGTGGCTCTCAGGAACGGCCCATGAGCATGTAACACTCCGGGCCTCCGAGCCGCGGCCCCTGACCCAGGCCAGGGCAGAAATACATGACGACGAGCAGGGCGTGCCCGCTCCCCGCCGCTTTCGCGTAGCCAGGGCAGTGGAAGCACGCTGGACCACGCCGCGCTGCAAAGAGGAGCGGACGGGTGCGAAAAAAGAGCAGCAGACGGGAGCAAGGGGGAGCAGACGACCGTCCCTGACCAAGACCACCTGGCACAGCAAAGCGCCGCGGGCCTCCGCCACGAGCAGGCTCCACGACCTGGATCTCAGGCAAGGGCCCGAAAACCAAGGGCCCTCCTGGGCCCGAAGTGGATCTAATGTCAGCGTCTTGGCTGTACCCCCTGGACGGGGCGCCTCGCGAGGCGTAAGGGCGCTCAAAGTTGTCAAAGACGGCGCCAAGATGTCCTCGGAGAGCCCAAGACGGCCTCTACGATGGCACAACATGGCCCATGATGGTAAGAGAACCTACACGACGCCTCCTGCCCAAAAACAGCTACAAGGAATTTGTCAGCTCCACCAGATGATCCTGCACTTCTCTGACCAGTGCAACTACCCGAGCGGTCGTTCCAGAATGGGCTGGTGGGACTACGCGAAGCGTCACAAACATACTCGCTCGGCGCAGGGCTTCCCCCTCCCCACACACCAGTCGGCCAGACCCAGGTAGGGTTGGCAACTCAGCTCGCTTAACTGGTTTTCTTGCAGCCTCCTGGCGCCAGAGGCGACCGCGCATCGAAGAATGCGCCTGCGGCAGGGCCGAAGCAAGCTGCATGCAGCAGATTTCGTAGGCCCCCCCTTTCCAAATCCCCTCCTCTGGTCCGGCCCGACCCTTCTCCGGCGCGCGGGGCGCGCTGGGGGCACGCGGGGCCACCAGGGAGTGTGGGGAGGGGGGGGCAGGCAGCGCCGAGGCTCAGCGCCGACCAAAGGGCTCCCTGGCTGGCCTCCGAAACTTGTATTGTCATGTCATAGCCTGTCTACCCACACAACAGCAGAAAAACTGTTGCGCAAACCGCAGGTTGCCACCCTGGGCCTGCCGTTCCCTGGGGTCCAGACGGCACCCCTTACCACGAAGGAAACGGGCCCTGAGCGAAACGAGTCCCGGACCCTTGTGAAGGGGCCCTGGGACACACAAATAAATAGACACCAATAATAGGATTCTCCATATTTCCCCTTATTTTCTGAGTTTTTGTCTCCCCCCCCCACTTCCCATATTTTTCCACATTCTCCTGGGAATCGACGATGAATTGTGTCTCTGTGTTTCTTTTCCACTCCTGACAACTCTTCATCCCGAATCTCCGCGCTCTTCTGCGGGGGGCTGGGGCTGCAGCCGCGCCCCTTTCCCGAGAAAAGACAGGCGGGCGCAGCGGCGGCTGGCGGCTCTCCCGGGGACGTCCCAGCCCCCAGGTTAAACGACGCCGGCTGTGCACCTGACCAGCTCGGTGCGCGCGTCCGCGCGTGCAAGATCAATCGACACCGAATTTGCAAATCGGACCGAAACGGAATGTGCGTCGGATCGGGCCGCATCGGCCGGGAGCCGGACTCGGATCGGACGGGCCGCGCCAGGATATGTACAGAACAACACCATGCAAACATCGCACCGCATCAGATTGCCAGGTCGAAACTGAATCGGGCCCGGCTGGCCCGAATCGATATACACCGAACCCAATCAGCTGCACCGAAACGGACCCTGGCGTGCCAGCTCGCGCGACAGCGTGCATCGAGCTGGCCTGTTGCACGGCTGGCGCCGTCCATCCCGAAGCCGATCTGCGGCCTGCGCACCGGCCATGCCCCCGCCCCTGGGCGCCGACGGCTTCCCATGGGACTGGGCACTGCGTCGCGGCAGGTGCCGGCGCAGGCTGGCGCAGGCCCTCCGCGCCTCATACAAGTACACCAACTGAAACTTGGCCGTGGATCTCACCGCAAACCTCCCCAGATGAGGGATCATCATGATCATCCAGTGTCTGAAGCCTCCTGGGCACATTCCTTGATGAATGCCCCGCCGTATCCAGCTCTGGGCGCCTTCCCAGCGGGCGGCCACCAGACGCGTGCTGCTCCGCGCTGTGCTCTGGGCGTGCGCCAGGGCACCAGTTTGGCCTGGGTAGTGCGAGGAGGCCGGTAGCAACAGGCCGCTTCAGCCTATCACAGCTCCTGCCCCGCAGGCCCACGTGGAGGCATCTGCGGGAGGCTAAGGGGGTCCTTGCGCACACATCCAGAGGTCCATCTGGGACCCCCCGAACTCCAGCCGCCCAAAACATCGCCCCCCTAAGGTGGGAAGCGCGTGCACGCCTCTGTACAACCAGAACGGCCCTGTACATCCAGAAAGATCAATTTCCAACCAGCATGCGTTTCCCCAGGTCACTGACACAGACAACAAAACTCAACAAACATCAATCGGAATCTACAACAGTCCATAATAATCAATAGGAATCAGCATTACATCGACAGGAATCAATCAGAATCCATGGGAATCGATAGGAACGAATGGGAGAGTATAGGAATCCATAGGGGTAAGTGAGAAATTGTATAAATAAATCGATCGGACTCCTTGGGAAACAAATAGGAATCAATAGGAATTACTATTGAATCACTCGGGAACAATAGGGAGCAATGGGAACCAATAGGAATCAATAGGACTCAATAGGAATCAATACTAATCATACAAAACGATAAGAACACATGGGAATCAATCGGAATCAATAGATATAAATAGGAATCAGTAAAATCAATCGGGATCGAAAGGAATCAATAAGGATCCATAGGAATCAGTGGGAAACCATAGGAATCAACAGGGAGCTACCATAGTCAAGAAGAAGCCATCGGAGACCATAGGAATTCATCGGTATGGATGGGAGACAATAAGAATCAATAGGAAAACAAATACCATGGGAATCAATCGGAATCAATACGAATCGATAGGGAGCAATCATAATCATATGGAAACAATAGGGATCCGTAGGGATGAATGGGAAGCAATAGGAATCCATCGGAATCAATAGGAAGCCAACAGACTCCGTCGAAATCCATGGGCATCAATGGGAACCAATCACAACCATTAAAAACCAATAGGATTCACGAGGACTCCATGGGAACCAGCAGTTATCGATGGGAACCAATAGGAACTACCAGGAATGAGTACGAATAAATAGGAATCGATATGAATCGATGGGAGTCAGTGGGAATGTATAACAAGTCGTGGAAACCATTAGGAATCCTCGGGAACCAATAGGAGCCAATAGAAATCAATCGGACACCTTGGGAACACAATAGAAATCAATAGGAACCTATTTGCATCAATCGGCATCAATAGGAATGACTCGCATCGAATAGTGATTAAGAAGAATTAGTACGAATCAAGATGGTTCAATAGGGTGCAGTAGGAACCAGGAGGAATCATGTAGGAAACCAAGGAAATCACTAAACTTCAATAGGACGTAATGTTAATACATGGGAACCAACGGGAATCAATAGGAATCAGTAGGCATGACTAGGCAGTCATGCGAGTCGATACGAACAAATAAAGACAAACAGGAACCAATAGGATTCAATCAGAAGCAACAAGACTCTTCAGGAATCGATCAAATACAATAGAAGTATATCGGAAACCAGAGGAACAAGTTTGAATCAGTAGGGATCAACAGAAATTAATAGGAACCACAGAGAATTGACTGGAAACTATCGGAATCTATGGAAACCAATAGGACTCCGCAAGAATCACTAGGCATCAAGAGAAACGAATAGGAACCAACAGGAACCAACCGTAATCAACAAGAAGCAATGGGAATACATAGGGATCACCAGGGACACAGCAGAACCTATAGGCACCAGCCAGTGGGGACCAACAGGAATCAATCGGGATCAAACAAGGAGTCACGAATAAT